CAATCAGTTCTGTCATGGACCAGGATCGTGGTTAAGAAATGGAAAACATTTCTCCTGGCAGGTTCACTATTCATTTCTGTCACCTGGCTGGTACAATATTGAGCACTTAAATTTATGGAAGATGATAGTCTGAAAATAAAGCATTATGCTTTCATCCACAGAACCCCCTTCTGAATTTCTTCACAGATGATTTGTACAACCTTTTTTTTTTTTTTAGTAAAGTATTTACTTCAGAAAGTTTCCTTGTAACTGCTTGGTTATACATGGATAACCATTTGCTTTTCATGCTTGTAAAAATTGCATGAAGTCTACCTAGAAGCCTTTTGCATCTGTTACAAGACTAGGTTGTTTTGGTTTTCCTTTGTATTTGATGGGTAATTTAATATTTAAGCGTATTTTGCTTGCATATTGTTTGTAGCAAAGGCTGACATTTTACTAAAGTTTTTTGGCACTGAAACTTGCAAGTCTACTGTTGGCAAGAAAACACTCTCCCACCTACTGAAAGAACAGTAGGAACCTGATTTTTTAAATGACACTCAACAGATGAAACAGGTAGACTCCTTCCACAACTCTAGATTTATTCACTTTTCTATGTTGCAGTTGCCTTTAAAATGCTAGAATTGTATAAAATTGGTCATACAGCCCCTATTGGAAACAAGCTTCCTTTTTTTACTCACTGTATAAACACACAATCGCAGAAATCCTAGAAGTGTTTATTTTTATGTTCCATAGCCTGTGTCCAGAAGTTTTTGTTTTACTAGCTATAGTGAAAACTAACCTACATGTGTTTTTCTGTAGATTGGCAAACCTATACAGAAAATAAGTGCTCAAAGACAACAAAACACCCCACATTTCTTACGAATGCAAGAATTTGATATAATATTTCAAAACTGGTCAGCTACAGTGCCGCAGTGAAATAGCCTGATACTAAGAACTGTACAATATTTGCATCTCCATTTAACCTTGATTTTCCGTCTGGGTGTTGAGCCCTGAAAAATCAAAGCTGCTTTGTTTAAATGCTTTCTTACTATTCTTGCTGACAGGATTGACTGCAGGATTTGAGGGGAAAAATAAACTCTGTGATTTCAAGCTGAAATCTTACTGGAATTGAAGTAATTTGAGTAATGGCCAAGATTTTCAAAGAGAACTAGAGTATCTCTGATTTCTCCTTCTGAGAAAGCCAGAATCAACATGCTGTAGATGCATTAATTAGCTAGTCTAATTAAGTTTTTATAAAAATTTGCAAATAAATGACTTCTTTTGTATGAAACATTCTTTGTTATACTCTGTTAAGTGTGCTTGTTAAAAGACCACCCACCGTGGTAGTACAGAAGGATTTTACTACTCGGGCATGGACTGAAGCGCATGAAATGCAGAAAATCTGCAGTCACTTTGCAGTTGTGCTACAGGCCTCTGTTTGGTGCAGTACAACACATGCACCAACTTGGGAACAAAGGCACTTGCTCTGTTGGCAGTGCAGAAGGGCAGATCCCGAGAAGAGTTAAATTAGAGGGATCTGTAAAGCTGCTTTGGGTGAAAATAAAAGCTAAAGGGGAGAAAAAGACTTTCAGGGACACATTTTCAATAAAAATTTTGAGACATATTTGTCTGTAGTTTTAAATGAACATTTAATTTAGCTGCACCAGTGCACTGACTCCATTTGATTGCATTTTTTCTAATGGATAAATTTGCAATGTCTTTATGTGGTAGAGGAGAGCCATACTCCGTACAAAGTGTTTTCATGTCTGGGCAAAATTTGTAGTAATAAAGATGGATTGTGTAGATGGTCCACATTTAACATTGTTAAAAACAGTTGTGAAATCCTTATCCATTCTGTATTACAGTTTAGTCTCCAGAAAGTGGAGGGGGAGAATTAACAGGGGAAAAAAAAAAAAAAAGAAAAAAATGACAACTAAATTAACTGGTTTACAGAGATTACTATAATGTTGTAATTGCATACAATTATCTGTAACTAGATAGAAAAATACGTGCCAGTGGAGATGTAACATGAAGTTACTTCAGACAGCTGTTATTTTCTACCAGAACAGTCTGTGCTCAATTATGTAAAATCAGAATAATATGAAGGGATATTTTTATTTTTTATACTTTAAGGCTATAAATTAGCTCAGTTTGTTGAAATACAATCTATATTTCTACACAGTACTGATCATTGTGGGAGAAAGTGTTTTGAAGAAACTTAAAAGAATTATTGTCCTTAATTCCATGCTAATTCTGTGCAATTATATTTCAAGTGGGGAGTGTACAGGACCACTGCCATTTAGTGTAGTGGTCTGGTCAAGACCTAGATGTTCAGCCATGGCTGAGGAAGCAAGCAAATCATCTGTGGTGAGCAGGCTGTTAGTAATTTTTGTAGAAGTTTTAAGCTAATTTCTAAGAGGAGTCTTGTCTAGCTTCCTCTCCTCCTCAGCTTTACATAATGACTCTGACCTAAAGAGTCTGATGAAGTCTGTAAATCTGGACTTGACAAAGCTGGTCAGGACAGCCTGCAGACACTCTGAACCAGTACAATTCATTCTTCATAAACACTGAATTCACTTTTGAGAGAAAGTGTGGGAAAACTTGTTTGTTCTATAAAAAACATTGCCTCAGCAATGCACCATATAGATTTACAATAACTTTTTCTTCTAGTAGCTTGGCATATTGATCTTTAGTGACTACACTGTACAGTAGCCCATCATCAGTGAACTGCTAAACTGGCATTTCCCTTTTAGAACAAGTTAACAGTGGTCTCGGCTCATTACTATGAGTTTTCCCATTGATTTCTGTAGCACCTGGACTTTGTGTAGCATGAAAAAGTTTTACAGGCTAGAATAGCTGCATGTTAATTACTTTGTGATACCTACACATTTGTAGAAACAGAACGTGTAATTCATATAATTTCAGGTTTTGAATAATTGAGGGCATTTATGAAGAGGAAAACATGAATAAGTAGATAAAAAGCTGAATAAATCCAAATAAGTGCACAAGACAAGAAATACATGTCTCTCACTGATGGTAAAGTTATAGAAGATTATTTTAAAAAACAAATTGGAAGAATAAGGAATGAGATCATCAGATCTTTAACACAGGAAGAATGAATGACAGTGAAAAGAGGAACAGCTGAATATGAATGTAAAGTATATATATGTTTTGGGGTTTTTTTAAACATGTGTGACATTTTTTCTGTAGTGCTATAACAAAGGTTTCAGTAACTTGGGGTTAGCCCCCATTTAAAGGAAAATGATGTTGTCTCTCAAACACATCAAAATGTAGAAAGAGACTGAGTCTTTGTCTTTAAGAAACACAGGTGTGAAGGTGGTGTAGCCAAATATTTTTTATGCCTAACACAAATAGCAATTATTTCTAATACAGGTGAGGGAAAAGAAAATGTTAAAAGTGAAAAAACATGAGTATTCACTATGAAGTTAAACGAAGTACAAGCAAATCAGAAGGCATTTTCAGAGTTTCACATCTGTCTTATAAAACAAACATTATTCCTGTAAGGCCCATGTCAGGCTAAAGAAAGAAGAATAGAACATTTGTCTAAAGTGCTTCTCAGTTACACAGAGACAGACAATAAGTACTGCAGTATCATTTTTAAAGATAAACCTGTTTCTCAGAGAAAGTCACAGATGTCTATTAAATTGCCTTTTATGGAAACTTTTGAAAAAGTTCTTAATGTTCATTGTGCGCTATCTCATTTTGGAACTGGCAAGATTTGTACATCCAAGTTTGCTTAAATGTTGTAATATTATTTACAGTGTTTCCAGTAAGAGGAAAAAATATTTTCTGAAGCATTAAAATCAAGTCAACACTCCATTACCTTCAATGAAAACAGACTGGAAGAAGCTCTTTTTCCCAGATTGAGGAAGAATTTAATTGCACTGCTTCTGAGGCTTGGTGTGCCACCCGTAACTGGCTCTCTCAGAACTGCTCATTGTGCACACTGCTCAAACACATGGAGCCAGGTCAGGCACTGCATCTGGGTCTGCCTGACCCAGCAGGACATTTCGGAATCAGTAGGGCATGCCAGGCAAGTTCAAACTGGCTTCACTTCAGTACATTACCACACAAGTTGTGTCCTATTTGACCTCTCCAGGAGCCAAATTCTGGGAGCACCCCAGAGCTGGTATGACCTTGTTGGATCTGAGCTGGCCTGGACTGTATCAATTGTTTTTTTCCTGACAGACAAGACTACAGACTCAAATTTCAGGGAAAGAAGCATTTTGGTAGAGGAGAAAGATAAGGGGTTAGGATCACTACTGAGTGAAAAGATGCAGTATGCACTGTATTATATTGCCAGGGAGTCCACGCAGGGCAGAGATACTACAAATGAAAATTCACAATATAGTAGGGCTCATAAGATTTGCAGGTTGCAGGACTGCTTGTTTTTGCAGAACTATTCTGTTTTCTGTCAAGATAGCATATTCTTGTTTTACATCTATTTGTTGGGCATGTCTGCTGCCTCCAGTCACTGCAGTGATGGGGACCTCATCTGCCTCTAATGAATCAGCAGATACCGTATTGGAGAAAAGGGAGGGAAAATTGTTTTCTAATTACATCCTTCTAAGATGCTTGTAAAATGGTTCCATCACAATCTAGGCTAGACTAGCTATGATGTTTTCCAAAAATAAACTTAAATACTCAGATTTTAATTTTGCTGTACTTAGAAACATTAAAGTCATTTTCCTCGGCTTCTGCTGTTTTTTCTGATTATCAGTAGTTACTCAGAAACTCAGAACTGCCCTTGCAAGGCAGTTCCACCTTCTCCTGATTTGAGTAGTTTATTTTGCAACCAACATCATTATTTTGGATTTTTTTCTTCTGACCTTTTTTACTAGGTCACCATCTGTTATAGCAGCTGCATATTTTGTGTAAAGTAGATAGGAAACTGATTTTGTATTTAGGAGCATGCACCTATGAGAACCCAGTGTCCCCTGCTGAGAAGACCTTAGCTGAGTATGGAGCCAGTGCTCAGGCCCACCTCCGGAACCACTACTATTACTCCCTGCAACCCTAGGACATTTTATTGTTCTTTAGACCCACTGGCATCAACTGTAGGAAGGACATTAGAAATAATGGTAAGCAGTACTGAAATATTTACAAATGTATAATTTGGACAGGAATGTTCAGCACAATGGGCATGCCAAAGTGCTTCCAGTTTTGGAAGCATTAAGATTAATCAAGTATGAAGTTTGAGTCTGCAGTTGTTACTGAGTAAAGACTATAGATGTTTTTCCTTAAAAGTTACCATAGGATTCATCTTGAATATCTTAGAATAGATGCACAGAATGATCTGAAAAAGTAAAAGAATTAAATAACTGATGCCCATATGCAGCTTTCAGTAAGAAGCACAGATTTAACAATATCTGTAAAATACACATGCTGAAGGAATGCTTCGTATTTAACAGATTATGGTAGAATAAATCTGTGCAAAGCCTACTGGGAAGGCAGCAGTAATACCACTGATTTAGGATGTACTGGACATATCTTTGCAGCAAGTGTCTGTAAGGGAGGCAATAACTAATCTAATTTTTGTGCTAATAAGGTGATAGGAAGTGAATTGATTGCTACTTCTTCATTATATAAAATTATGACTTGTTTGAGAAGATAGCAGTTTGGGGTTTGGTGTACCATTTAAAAGTACTTTTTGCTGACAATACCTTGTGATATAGTTGGAAGGATTTACTTTTTAGAAACATTGTAAAATGAAAACCAGACAGCCACAAAAACATCTCTTCTCCTTCTCCCTGCCCTTATTTTAACGTGAAATAACAAATGTGTAACAGACTTCACCAACAGTTTACAGTCTTAACCACTTCCTCATTGAACCTGATCAAGTAGATACAGTTATGGCTGTATATGCAAGCCATATATATGGAGAATGAGTTATTCTTATGCAGAAGTCTGTCTCCTTTATTTTTTATAGATACATATATAATGTGTATTTATGAAAAAGTATTTATTTCCAAAGATATATACATTAAAAGTATATATTATTATCTACATTTGTATATATTACTAATAGTTAACTTTTAAGCAGGAAATCAACTTGACTCTACAGCACTTCATGATATGCCAACCTGCTTTTAATGATAGAAAAAAAATGCAGATTTCCACTCACATGTACAAATTAAGAGGGCTTCCCTGCATCTGGAAGAATTTATGCGACTGCTCTGAGAGTTGCAAGCGTGTCAAACAAATACTGTGCAGCAAGGGCACTAGTTCTCTTCAGGCACCTATGGACCACATTCAGTGCTAAGTCTGGAACTCTTTGATAGCTGCATTTTTTTCATAGAAACTATCTATTCACATGAATAATCAGTTTTCTTAGTGATATTCCTCTTTTATTTGTAGTAAGAACTCATCAGAAGAAAGCCCCTTTTTGTTTTAGCTGCTTTTTCAAATAGTTTCAAATTAGTTCATGACTCCACTCAGACTTAGTTCATCTGCAGGATGACAAAAAGCTTTCTTGATCACATGAACGTAATTTTCTGTTAATGAGAACTCTTGAGATTTCTAACATGAGCAGTGAAGTTACAGAAATGGTGCTTTTTTTAAGATTCATTTATTGAAATACTGCTAAATTAGGTCAGGCATGAAAGTTTGCGGCTCATATCTCTAGAAAGAACATAACTGTTATCATTCACTAGTAATAATGTATTTTAATAACATTCATGTTGAATCTCTAGGCATACCCATTTGCCTCTATTTAAAACTACTGTAGTATAAATGAAATACCAGTCCCATGTTTCAGATAAAGGTAAAAATTGAGTCCTGTGACTAAACTATGCTGGATGTGATTTAAAGAAAAGTTTCGCTACGCTATATAGAGCTATTAATAAAATTATTAAAAAATCAATAATGAGATTTATTCTGCTTCTTAATACTATTGATTTTTTTTTACTGAAAAGAGTAGATCATATTAAGCACCATATATTTTCTAGTTTCATTACTGAAAATGGTATTTTTCTGTCTTTGAATAGCCAATGCTCCAAAAAGAGTAGTAGAAAGATTTTTTTTTCAACATGTTACTTTCCTATCACAGTTTTGATTTTCATTTAGAGACCTGAAGAGTTCATATGGTGCATCTAGACATAATTTCTATTTCACATATCTTGCAAAAATTGTTCAACAAACTTATTTTTCTATAAATTAAATAATAAAAGTCTGCCATTATTTGCCCGTTATGCGATGAAGAGTTGAGTGCAAATAGACTGCATATAGCAGCTTTGTGATCATAACCACTGTTAATGGTAAACAGAAAAATTATGTTTTAAAAAAGCCAGCACTTATTTGTAATATGTAACCAGTGTTAGATTGATTTTCCTCTGGTAGGTTAATATTTAAAATAGGGTTTACATTTTCTTTGCCATCCACAGGGGTTTTTCCTCTGTCTTCAAGTGTAACAGAAGTTATTTTAATTAGTATTTCATTAGTATTATTAATCTAATCTTTATTATATAATTGCAGGATGGCTCCCAGGATGACTGATAAGAATTCAGGTGTAAAACTGATATCATTGGAGCAGAGATGGTTTGACTGCTGGAGTTTGAGCTGTCAAATTCCTCCATGGAGAAGTAGAGACTACTAGAAAATATTTTTCTGCTGCTAGAAAATTGTGGGAAATAATTTAAAAAGCAAAAAGAAATACCCTTGTTAGATAATTTCTGTTTCATATAAATTTTTAAACTCTAGATTAATTTAAGCTGTTTGTTATTTCAGGTTACAGAAGACTTGGTGATGGGGGAAGGCATGTGAAAGAGAAACCAACAAAAGGCTAAGGTCAGGTAGATCGAATTGTTAGACTTACTAAGAAAGAATGCTGAATTCCCTTATGCAAGTTGTTCCTCTAAAGTAAATTCTTCCTTCAATTTAGTTTTGTGGTGCTGCACTACTGGCCTAGACTCTAGACTAGAGACCAGTAGCATCAAGAAATCCAGTGGTAACTCTTGAAGGTTACTGAATTAGTGTCCTACATGAATATTTGGAGAATATATATCTTATATATAATAAACTCCTTTGTATCAACTCCTGTGTTTCTCAGAGTGAAAGCTGCAGCATCATTCAAAGCTAGTAGCTGGTACTGGATTTTGTAAAATCCAGCTGTAAAACCTGAAAGTTTAGTGCCAGAGCTTCAGGTGGCTGTCCTTGTACTAATCAAAGAACATTCTAGCAGACCTTGATACAAAATAGTAAACCTCTTACTACAGTTTTCTACTCATTAATGGTTTTCCCAGTTGGCAGTATGGGAATAAAGCTCTTATAAATGGATTGAGGGGGTGTGGGGAGAAATACAAGGAGAAAATAATTATAGGAATTAATGAAGAGAGGATGAAATTTATCAGTTTTAACATAGTTGACATGCTGAATAAATGTATTCAAGAAAACATGCTGTCTTCCAAGGGATAGGAGGAACAGAATATAACATAGAACCTGTAAAAACAGCTATTGAAATAATACTAATCAGGAAATGCTTGATAAATTTTAATATTCAATATATTGTCAACATTTGCGCTCATTTTAAGATGCTAAAATAAATTGCTAATGAATTTTCTGAACTTTCAAGGATTAGTTTCGTAAAGTTATGAACATGCTTCCATGAAATCTCTGAAAAATGCAGGAAGAGAGAAAATGAAAGCAGCAGCAGCAATCTTTGTTCTAAATTTGAAACCTGAAGAATTTAGTACTACCTGCCATTGTCCATACGTTTGCGCCAGCTGGTAGTATTCTTCAGGCTTGCACTATGATTCATAGGCAGAGCACACTCAAAAACTGTGTATGTCAAAGATACTGTTACTTCTCTTGTAGTTTCCTACTAAGAAACTAGGGGAAAGATAGCATATGTAATGTTACCTCTGTGTTATGCCAGGGGTGTCAACTGAACAAATTGATGATTTATTTCTGTGCTGAATTAGAACAGTGTTATCTCCACAAGTGTCTGCTACTTACACAAAGGCAGAAAGTGCTGGCAGCTATTCAGAACTTTTAAATTATGATTTACAAGAAAGTTACATAGAGTGCTTGGTTGAGAATTTCTTCACAGCTTTGTTCCCCAGTTTCCTGTGTTCAATATTCATCATATATCAACTTATTCTTCTTTACCAGTTATCATCTCCTAATAGTTCAGTTTGTGGGTATATCAGTAGGCAAGAACATTTGTCATTTTAGCTCCTTCTCTTAGTTTTAGTCATTTTTTCCTTTGTTTTCATCATTCAAGGTCTTACCAGAAAATGCTTTAAATCTGTTAAGGTCAACAACAGAAAATGAATATGTTGCATTTGAATATTTTTGGCTGAATGTAAAGTGACACTTATACCATAAGAAGACTGTAAGTGGTCTACATGCTATTCGATAATTATTAATGTAGAGCTGCAGTTCAGTGTTTACAAGTTGTAACTACCCAAATTAAATTACATCAATTAAATATATTTTAATTTAAGAAACTTTAAGATTTAAAAAAAATCACTCATACACTGCAAAAATAGGTCTCGCCATGATTAATGCAATGCTGTGTTTGTGAATGGATGAATAATTCATTATTCCATTAAATAAGTAGTCTGACTAAATATTCACAGATATTCTGTTACATGCAAATTAAGTAAATACCAATTGATCCTTGGGGTAATGTTACCAATATGGCTATGTTTTATAGTGTCTATGTGAGAAGATAAATTTGTGAGGAAAAGAGTAAGGTGAGGTCAAGCTGTGAAAAAGGCAATCAGAACCTCTGAGAGGGCAAATGAAATTGAATTTGAACATTCTCACATCCTGACAAAAAGGAAATATTTTCTCTTTTTGTTGATATTTCTTTTAAAATATCACAGTTGACTGAAAATGTGGTTGTTAATGGTACCTGAATATGATGGTAACAATGATGCTCTCCTCAAATCAACACATCAGCAGTTTAGAGTGTTATATGAGAAGCTCAAATGCCTTGGAATCAGCTGATTACTGAAATATCACTTGTTCAAATATCAGAAAGAAACCACATTATATGCACCCTTTGACTCTTTAGGAACTTTCTTATGTTGGCTAACTTCATTATTTTACGCAGACAATTTTTTTTCTCTTTTGTCCCTTAATGCAATTGTATGAACAGTAAAATTACATATGTACACAGTTTTTATGGTTTGCTTCTCGAGGTCCTATTTTGTTTGTCTATATACAACTGATAACGAATGACATAAGACACATTACCAAGCATAAAACCATTGCTTTTGACCTGAGAAAACTGGGGAAGGGAGGAATCTGGCTTTTTTTTTTTTCTTTCTTTTTTTCTTCTTTTTACACTAATACTAATTTAATATACAGTGCTCAGTATTCCTTAGTTATTCTACAGATAACAGCTGTGAAAATCCCAGATCACTCCTGGATGACCCAAAGAGGACAGGACACAGAAAATTGCATATTCCAGATCTTTTTAAACCAAAGCCTGAGGTTTTAGAGTGAAATGAAATGTGGCACCTTCGGTGAACTGCATGAGAAGTAAGGGGGGGAGGGCACAGCCTCCTGCTTTCTTTAGTATCTCCTTTTTATGACATATTTCTCCCACTGTAACAAGCATTTACATTTTGAGAAGCCAGAAGTCAAGTCGTTTTCTATAAACACATACTGGTAGGGAGGTGTGAACTCCTTTGACATCATTCTGATCCTGTTTGAATGTCAGTGGTTAAAAGTTCACTGCTACCATTCTGAATCCTTTAAGGAAAATTGAAGTCAAAGAGAAACAGACAGAAAAGTTCAAAGGGGGAAAAAAGGGGATGGGAGAATGAGGGGAAGCAGTAGAGAGCTCTTAAGTAAAACATGGTCAGTGGGAAGACTCAGGAAGAAGTGGGGAGGTAACAAGGTGGTAATACCTGACATTCTTAATTTTCAGTGGATACCTGCTATATAGGTTATCTTTCTATTCCTGTCTGTTCATGTAGGTCACCTCCTATGCTGGTTTACCTTCCCTGTGAGTAACATAGAGAAATTTTTGCCTCCCCAGGAAGTAGTGAAGTTTTCTCTTAAAGAGAATCTTTAAATAGTGGTTTTTATATATATTATATATGTATGCATATACATATACACATCTATATTATATGTATAGGTGTACAGAATCATTGAATCATTTAAGTTGGAAAAGACCCTAAAGGCCATCAAGTCCAACTGTTCACCTAACACTGCTAAGTCCACCACTAAACCATGTCCCTAAGTGCCACATGTACATGTCCTTAAATACCTCCATGGTAACACTTCCCTGGGCAGCCTGTTCCAGTGCTTGACAAGTCTTTTCAACAAAGAAATTTTTCCTAATACCCAGTCTAAACCTCACGTGGCACAACTTGGGCCTTTTCCTCTTATTCTGTCACTTGGTACTTGGGAAAAGAGAGTGACACCCACCTTACTGTAACCTCCTTTCAGGCAGTTACAGAGAGCAATAAGGTCTCCCCTCAGCCTCCTTCTCTCCAGGATAAACAACCCCACTTCCCTCAGCTGCTCCTCATAAGACTTGCATATATATGCATACATATATGTAATATATATATGTATATGCTATGTATTTTTAGTATGTACATATATATGCATATATATGTATAAAAAACCCCCAGATACTATTAATTAACTGTTGCCCTTTTAGAATGCTGAGTTATTGCCTAGGACTATTGCCCTGTTTCAGGGCCTTTTTTTTAAGACAATGTCTAGATAACAAATAACAGGCAGCAACTTCTATGTATGTATGTATGCTGGCAGTTTGCTAAAGAAAAGTTTGTACTTTGCAGACTTTATTCTGAAAACCATGCAAATGCAAGTCTAAAAAAACCTGCTGGAATCCACATACTATTTTATGATATAATACACTGGTATATATTTAGTGTGATAATTATGTTCGTTATGGTTCACAAGTTCTATAAATAATTTCTAGTACTACGGAGGTGATAGGTTTTACAAGCTTGAAAGAGACCATAACTTCTGCAAGCTAACAAAATAACGTCAATTTAAAATAAATAGTCTGTTACGTTTTGTTTTATTTTATTTTATAACAAAGAGTAGACCCCTACAATGGGTAAACCACTTTTCTATATACATTTCCAAGGCAGTATGTAGCTCTGAGAGTACCTAGTGAGGGTAACACTGCCAGCTCCTGGTTATCAAAATTATTTCTTCAGGTAAATTAGCAGAGAAGTGAAAAAATCTCTTGCAGTTCTGTGTTCCCTGTTTGGCACTAAGTGTAACAATTCTATTTACCATGGATTTTATGACTCCACCAAATAATCAGCAAAACTGAATTCTCAAATGCCTAAGTCAGGCTGAAACAAGGGGTCTTTCCAAGAGCTGAGCTCCTTCTGGTTGTTGGATATGCACTCAACTGTGTTTTCATCTACACTAGCAGCTAATTGGCTAACTGGAAACAACAAAAAAAATCCATCATGTCTCAAAGGCTTTTAGTCCAAAGAGTCATAATGCTCGATGGAGTGGTAAACTAGGGTATTAGGGTGATTTTATGCTTTCCATATTTCAGAGGGGAGTGGAGTTCTTTGGTTGACTGAAGAGACAAGACAACTCAAGCTGAAAAAAGAGATCTCAGTTGAGACAAAGTTGAGAACTTCAGCTACATGTCATTGGAACTGATCAAAACCCTGTCTTGTTTCAGCTTGGTTTAAAGAGAGTACAATGCCACCCAAAAGAAAGCAGTGTTGTACCTACAAAAACTATGGACGATTAAATCATGTTGCAATCAGCTGACTTACTATTTAGGTGGGAGACAGTAATGTTATTTTTCATTGTTTCCTGTAAAGTATGTGAA